AAATCACCCAGAAAGCTCTCAGCATTACAAACTGTTTCAATTATAGGAGAGTAAATAAATCCTGGGTGAGAAGGATACGGTGGCTGTGGGAGCCATCACAGAGGATGCACAGTGCAGGGCCCGGCCGCAGGCTCGCACTCGACGGCCAGCGGAGCTTAGGGGGTCCCAGCTGACCCCCCCAGGGACCCCGAGCCAGTGGGGCTGCAGGTGGCCTCTGTGCCCGGGGCAGCAGCGCCAGCACCCGGCTGGGAAGTGCTTGGCAGCGCTGGCCCAGGGAAGCTTTGAAAGATTAATGGAGTTTAAATGGAAGCGTTTGGAGAGGAGATAAGGCTCGTCTGATATGAAATCATATGAAACAACGGGAGCCAGGGAGGCCCCAGGTCCATAATGAAGTCCACTTAGCGCATTACTCACCATAATGTGCTTTTTATTAAAGTCCTGCCCTGCAGATGCTGGGTCTGCAGCCGATAACCCGGGGCAGGATGGCACAGGGACCTGGCACACCCGGCCCCTCCACCCTGAGCCCTGTCACCAAAAGCAGCAGGGACTGAGCATGCCAGCCCTGCACAGTCCCACAAAGGGACCTTTGGTTTCCCATCCCCAGTGCGAGCCAGGGACGGGGCTCCTGCATCACCCAGCGCCGCAGCATCACTGGTCCCCATGGCTGGGGCTGGGCTGCCCAGGCCCACGGGGACGGGGTGGAGAGGAGGCAGAGGTGGGGAATAATACAGAGGAAAAACTCCTTTTTAATCATCAATTTTTCTGCATTAGAATGTGACATGCTAATCCACTGTGAAGCGTCTAATCTGGGGGATAAAGGGCCGGATAACACAAGCTGCGCCCGGCTTGGCTGGCGGAGCGAGCGGAGGCAAGGTGGCAGCATCTGATAAGGGGCGGCAGGATTAGTCCCGGCAGAGATCCCGGCTGCCCGGGCAATCCCACCTTGCTCGGCTGCCCTGACTCTGCCTCTCACCAGGGTCAGGAATGGGATCTGCAGCAGTGGAGCCATCCCGAAGTGTCTCATCCTGCCCAGAGTGGCAATGGAGGCACTGCGGGTGCCACCACCAATGTCTTGGTTGCTCTGGGAGCTGCAAAGCACCTTCATGGGCCAAGGCACATCACAAACCTGATTTTTCTCCCCTCTGATGCAAGGCACCCAGCTGTGCCGTGGGAGCGGGACAGTCCAGCTGCAGGCTGCCCTTCCGCCCCATCAAATATCCATCCCCCAAATCCTGCTGCCAAAGTTGCACCCCATCTCCTCCCTCCCCGCTGGTCAGCTCCGGGCACGGTGCCCGCAGCTCGGCCCCAGCTCAGCCGGTCCTTGGCAGGGACGGGCAGCGCCCAGTTACAAAAGCGAGCGGGTCCAGCTCCCGGGGCTCTTTCTGCGACAGCCTCCCTGGGGCTGGGCTGCCGCTTGCAGGCCTGGGATAACAGAGCTTGCAATGTTGTTTTCTCCTCGCCTCCTCGGGAATTGGTTTATCTCTATGAATAACTCCATCCCGGCTTTGATCTCCTCTGCCATTAAAGCGTGACAGGCTGTGAAATGTGCTGTTGCTGCCGTCAAATCCCCCTCCCGCTTCCCCCCTGCCGCCTCTGTGCTCCCCCCACTCCAGGGAACCTCCTTTCCCGGGCCCATGATGAGCTGCAAAGCATCGAGCGGGGCCGAACCACCCCGGGACAGTGGCCAAACACTATTCCGGAGCCAGGAAAAAACAGGCTCCTTCCACCATCCCATATCCCTCGCTGAGGCAGGGAGGAGGGCATCGAGCATCCCTGGACCACAGCAGTGGGTCGGGGTGTGGCGGCATCATCCCAGCACGCACCGCCACAGGGGCTGATGTCACGGCTAATTATAGCATCCCCCGTCCCTCTCCCCCGCCAAAGCTTTACCTGAGAGAGGGTAAAAATAACTCCTGGCAAGGGAGGAGCTGGAACAAGCCCAAGGACTCCTCCAGCATCTCCAAAACTTGCACAAACCAGGACAGCACCCCTCTGCCTGCAACGCGGGGACACGGCCACGGTTTGTCCCCAGTTGCAGGGTCAGGACGTGCTCCCCTGGGCGCCAGCGCCACTGTTCTCCTTGCTGCGACTGTCCCCGCTCACCTTCACCCCAGCTCAAGTGTCGGCTCTGGGACAGGCGGTGGTAACCGGAGCTGGGACAGGGCTTATCCTCGCTGCCCCACGCGGCTGCTGGGAACCGGCCCCAGCACTCTCTGCAGGCTGTTTAAGCTGAGTGAGGCAGGTTAATGGCTCCGGCTGATGATGGAGTGTTTTCATTACAGCATCTCCCTCTCCCTGATGCAATTGCTCCCAAGAAGACACATGAAACCTCCCCATGCCATAGGATCGGGTCAGCCTCTCGCTCACACCATCAGCGACTGTCCCACAGGGCCCAGGGCAGCACCACTCGCCTCTCGGTGCTCTGCCAGGGTTAAACAAACCCCTTGAGGCTTCTCTTCCACTTTCCTTCTTCTCATCTCCCTCCGACAGACATTGCACAGAAACTCCCTGTTCCAGAGCTGGGGAACACCAGAAATCCCACCCCAGCCTCAGCCAGCTCGTACCTGCTCGCTCCCTGCCAAGAGCGTGCCTCTGTACATGATCCCACAGGGATCCTCCCAGCTTGCTCCCACAGGGCTGAGCCAGCCCAGGGCCCCCAGACCCCCTCCTGGGTGAAGCCCTGATGCCTTTCTAGCCCAGCCCTGCCCATGGTGCAGCTGCAGTTCGTCTCCCTCAAAGGCAAAGGTGACCTGGTCCCCATGACATGGTGGCTCCCAGCCACCCAAAACGCCTCCCTGGTCCCACTTCCCAGGATGAGTTTCCAGCTCAGACTCGCTGGGTTGCTCCCAAAAGGCACAGCCTTGCTCTCAGCTTTATGAAATTTCATCCCATGGCTCTGGCGCTCATCCCCAAGGTCACCCACCCTACCTCCTGGGTGCTGACAGTGTCCCCAGCTTTGTGGCAGCTGCCAGCGTCCCTCTTACACAGGGGCCCTGTCAGGAATATTGAGCTTGGGGAGCCCCAGGGTGACCCCTTGAGGGACAACCCACTGTCACATCATCGGTTATTGTCTTGGCTGAGCCTGGCCTGGCAGGGATCATGCCCAGCCCTTTACACTGGCATCATTTGCTCAGGTAAAGCAGATAACTTCGTGCTGGTATCAGATCAGATTTGTACAAGTCTCCTGGTTACATTTGTGCCCCAGGTTTGGTGGTACCCATGTCCACGAGCCGGGATGTGCTCAGGGACTGGGGGGCCCGTGGTGCATATGGGGAAGGAGGCACAGCAGCTGAACCGTCGGGCTGGGGCTTGATCATCGCACCCGAGCATCAGCCAAAACCTCCTGTCCAGCTCTTGCGCATCAAAGCACTGCCGTATTTAGATGCTTCCCTTCCGCTTGGGCCGGCGATGGCGGCTGTGGTGCTGGGATGGGGCTGGAGATTGCTCTGTGGTCACATTGGATGCTTTTATGAAGTGCTGAGCGCAGGAAAAAAGCAAACCGCAGGAAGGGGCTGTGCTGCTGCAGGGCTGCAGGGAGGAGACGTCTTTGCTCCCAGCAGCCAGCCCGGCCACTGGCTCCATCCCACCACCCCACAGCAGGGCTGCCACCCCCAGACTCTCAGCCCCATCCAGCTCCGCAGCACGAGGCCTGGACACCGTCCCCCAGGGGTGAATCTCTGTGGTAAGCACAAGGTGACACACTGCACACTGGCTGGGCTCGGTAGAAGGAGTCATCACCTGAACCATGGCAGTGCCCAAATCCTGCCAAAACCAGCTCTGGCGTGGAGGAGGACGGACCTTGCATCACTCGGGACATCGCCTTCGTTGGATGTTCCCGTGCACACACTGCTGCCCTGGCACAGGGAGATGAGCCCGCAGGGACGGATGCTGCCAGGGCAGGATAAGCACCGTGAGAGCTTCAGGACACTATAGTATCCTTCTGCCCCCGCTGGCACCACCTGGGCTGGCGCTGCAGCAGGACAGTGTCATAGGTGTTTTGGGAAAACCTCTGGCTCCAGCTGCCCTGATGAAGAGCCCGACGAGCCCGGCATATGGTGGCTCCAGAAACAGCC